ACATGAATTGATGAACAAATCACACATATCCATGTGTGTTTCAATGGAGCAATATCATTCAAAGAAGAAAAAGAAGACACGAGTAGAATTGTCCCTCACAGCTTGGAGAACAAAATCCTACATGATAGTGCATGTGTCTCATGAAAGAATTGCCATTCAAGGAAAAATGGGACACATGGCTAGAATTGATCCATACGGCTTGAAGGGAAGATAGGACATGACCATGCTTATATTAATGCAAACTTATCATTCGAAAGGGAAAAGTAGATACACGAGTAGAATATATTAACACAACTTATAGAAATTTATCACACTCGTGTTCCATACAAGGTGACCACTTCACATCTTTATGTAGTCTTCCTTTTTCAAAAATTTTCATTCCATGTAAACATATCATTCAAGAAGAAATGTAAGACATGGTTAGTAAGTTTTGTCACGGCTTGAAAGAAAAAATACGATGCTCGTGTTCCATACATACATAACCATTTCATACAATATTCCTTATTCACTTTTCTTTAATAACATATCTTATAATGGTCATTAAATTTCAAGAACATTTCCTCTTCATATTTCTTTAATATCTTACAAGCACTTTCCAAATAACATTTTTCACATATCCTTAATAACACTCCAAGTAAGCATATCATATATGTGTATTAACATCCCAAGCAACTATACACTTACCACGCATTACATACCTTTGAATCTTACTTGCCATCAAGACGTGACTTGTATGTGCTTAATCGATCATCTTAACTTGAATAGCCAAGATAAACGTTCCTCTAATACCACTCTATAGCACCCCCTAACTTAGGATCTAGATAGATCGCGGATATTAATAGTATTGACTTACATTCGAAATGCAATGAATATAAGCTAAGAGTCCGCTCTCCTATCATTCTTAGTTCATTGGCAAAGCGAGCAATTCCTACACTTGGTCCCTTACGAGTATGAGATGTTGGGTTCACTAGTACATATCTTGGGTATAAATTTTTCCTTAGATTCATAAAGTCATTACTAAATTTCATTTAAATCTTTACTAATAATTTAACCTTTCAAATCATGAAAATTTGGTTCTTACCTAATCTTGGATGTTTCTCTTTTAACTTCCTTATTTAGCTCTTAATTCCTTATTGCATTATATATTATTTTCATTTCTTTCTATAACCAATCAAAAATATCATCCTAGCCATATTAGTCATGTTAGGCAACAAGTTCTATGACTAACAAGCTTTTGTATAATATTAACTTAACATTTAAGTCATATGTTCATTAATACAAAGTTCATTAATACAAAACAATATCTAGCTAACTAATTTACATACCAAAATCTTGCCTAACTCATTATCATATATACATGCCAAAATCAAGTTAATTAAGCTCGTTATCATACTCTTTTTTCCTAAGAACATCGGAAGGCAAGTCCCTCATTTGTCTTGATAACGACTCTTCATTTATCTTTATCATCTCCTACACTATAAGAAACAAAGTTGAGCAATACAATGCTAAGTAAGTGTAACCCATACAATACATGTGATGCCTTTTATGCATAAATGCACGAGTTGTAAATTTCTTGAAAATATTTCATGTTTTTAAAACTCATTTTCCTCTTCGGACGCACATCTTATCGATTGTATATATAATTGACCCTCTCGTAAAACATGTAATTTATAAAAATCACAAAAAGCACTAAGTTCATTTCCATAGTCCTCATCACACAAAGTGTGCTTATATCCTCAAGAGAGGGTGATCAATCCTCTGTCATAATTCTCAAGAGAAGTCACCCTTCCTTCCCCATAAATCCTCAAGAAAGAAGGGATCGTCTCTCTCCAATAAGCCTCAAGAAAGATCACCCTTCATTCCCTTGATTTTTCTTTTTCTTCCTTCTTTCTTCCTCCCTTTTTGACATAGATTTTTTCTCTTCTTTCTCTCCTCTTCTAGCACTGACTTTCTCCCTCTCTTTTGTCTAAAATTTTCTAGATTTATCTAGCAAAATTTGTCTCTTAAGTTCAATTAATAAGTCCATCACAATGTTGGCACCTTACATTTCGAGTCCCTAAACTTTCAATCTTTGTAATTTGACCATATAATTTTAATCAATAACTTCATAATTTTTATCAATTTAGTCATCATCTTCGCCTACCCCAAGTTAATTCAAGTCCTTAAGGTTTCTTAATCATTTCAATTAAGGACTTAAACTCCTAATCTTTATAATTATGCCCTTAGGTTTTCTAATTGCATCCATATAGCAAAGCATAACCATATTAATTAAAGACACCATTGTCAAATTCAAGCCTTACTCTTTCCTTTAACCTATCTTGCTTATGTTTCTTTTATCGTTAATTAGAGTTCAAACTTTACTCACGCATTCAATAAATACACCTTTTTATTAATTAAACAAAACATCCATACAATACTTTTACATTTATGGGAGGGTTTTTAAGTCATGGATATTACATCTATCTTTTATTTTTTTGTTAAATAGATTAATTTTGTTAATTAAAAGATTGTTTTTATTAGTTGTTAAGTTAATTTTGTTAATTGTTAGTTTAATTGTGTTTTTCTTTTTATACTCTTTGATGCCCTTTATGTGTCTTTTTCCCGATCGCCTTGTCCATATCCAATATGATGTTCTAACATATCTTTTATGCTACTCACCTTTCACCTTATTAACGTTGTGCTCTTCCAACTTGGACTCGAGTTGCACCCATAGGCTCTCACCCTAGCTGCATTATCTAGTGCTACTTTGGTTGAGTACTACGACCATAAATCTGGAGCAAAGGCTGAACGTTATGCAAAATTCCTTTCATACAAGGACTAAAACATTCAAGATATAGTATGCATTTGGAACCTCCAATGAAAAGATAATAACAAGAACCTTGGATGGCCATTAGTTTAGTTCTTTATTATCTTCTCGTCGTAATTGGATTTATTTAATACCATGAGAGAATGAAGTAAAAAATGATTCTTTTTCATATGTACTCCTATAAGATGATAGATTTACTAAAGAGGGGTAAGTTGTTTTTTATGATTTTTTAACAAAGTTCGATGTGAAATTTATGTTAACAATGTTAACGACTCTACAACGATTATATGCATTTCTAATATTGGATCATTATGGTTGTGGATTTGTGGTGATACACTCAAGAATTTGTGATAGCTTCTTGGTTCGATTATGAAGGTAGAATCATAGAACATGTTTTTCATCGTTATGAAAAACAAGGGCAAAGGTGGCTGCATTTTGCAATCTCTCGCCTCCAGATATGGCTCTAGATACTAGGCTACTAGCAGATTAGCGTTGCTTGAGACTTTTCACTCGAGTTTGTCATCCGGGAATGGTATGTTTATGAATATGCTTGAGTTGTATAAGGCTTTAATTTTATAAAAAAACAAAAAATAATAATACTAATTATAGTTTGATATTTAGTTCTCAAATGTGTTGATAATTAGCAATGGATTTAGTTATAGAATAGCGATGCATTATTTGTTAGGAAGACGATGGTTTTGATGACCAATTAGTGACGGAATATAAAGATTTAGTTTCAAGAAAAAAATTTGCTAAATTAGCGACAAATACTAATCATTCGTTGCTAGGGTTAGCTATAAGCGTTTTAGAGAATTTTTTATTTTTATTTTTATTTTTATTTTTATTTCTTGTTGCTAAACGTTTTTAGCGATAGATTTTTTCATTACTAGATTATGGTTTTCTTGTAGTGTTAATCCGTATAGCACCTATGAAGATTTGTTTTTTTTTTTTTTCCAAGATAACTCCACGCGGTTTCATCAGTTTTCTTTTTCAATGGCTGGATTTAATTGTACCGGTTATAATATTAATTAGCATTATCGATCATCTCCACTTCCACTTCTGGTTGTGAGATTAATAATGGCATTATGTGTAATATTGATACTTGAACATATGCATGTCTCAAAAATGGAAACAAGGGCGTCTTATATATATGCCAATGGTGTCATATATACTGGAAGGTTCATTTCATACCTTCAAATGCAAACAGCACATTTTTTTGTCGAAAACTGGGAAATTACGTTGAAGGGTGGGTGGGGCCATGGCATCCCCAAATTGTAAAAAATTTACATTTTAATCCTAAACTTTTGGGCTTTTTTTTAACTACACCTTCAATTTGAAGTCTATTTTATAAAAAATTACATGTTTTACATCCTCGAAAAGTACATATTATTCAATTGGAACCTCCAATCTTAAATTTCAGGTTACGCTTCAGTGGGAATTGAAGTCAGTTAATGGAACTAATGCTTATTAATGGAACTAATGCTTCCTGTGCATTAGCTGCCAGTAGCTAGCCATATGGTCAAATAATAATAATAATAATAATAATTGCTGCCAAAAATTCTGAATGATATCATCATGTATTGGAACATTTCGTACCTTTGAATTAAAAGAGTAAAGAGTACATTTTCAACAAAATTGGAAATCAAACCATGTGTTACTAGTTTTCTTGTGCACTAACTATAAGTAGCTTATAATATTAATTAAAGTTGTAAATATTGATAAGAGTAGTAAATAAAAGCCGCGTTATTTTAAAAAAATAAATCCTGGATTCATGAAAGCTACATGTGCAGAAATTATATCCCAACCTCAGTTGAAAAAAATGAAAATAAAAAAATCCCATAACCAGCAGATAAAAAAATATAAGATGGTAATAAAATTTACTAGATAAATGGATCCATCACAGAAGCCGACCACAAGAAAAATCCTAAAGCAAACGCCAAAATTGAGTCTCCCTTAAATACAAATACAGAGAAGTTCCAATGGAAATGCCAATGACTTAGTGTTATCACTATTTCACAAGCACCTTCCTCTCCTTCTCTCTGACCTAAATCAGTTCCACTAAAAGCCCTTTTTTTCCCCCTTTTTTCTTTTTTTTTCCTCCAACCTTTATCTTGTATACTGATCCCAAGCAAGAAATCTTTGGACAAATATTTGCTAGCAACAAGGTTTTCAATTTCTTGATATATATATATATATGGAGTCGGCTACACAAGAAAGCTCAGAGACTTCAAGTGAACAAAATGGTGATCGTCAAGAACAAGTCAAAGAAGACTCCTCAAGCAATACAACAATTACTGCTAAACGCTCATATGAATGTTCTTTTTGCAAGAGAGGCTTCACCAACGCGCAGGCCTTAGGGGGACACATGAACATACACCGCAAAGATCGCACTAATCGAACCAAAGGAAAGAAACTAGTAAGTTCTTCATCAGTTTCAAGCAAAGCCAATGAGGAAATCAAGGATTCTAGATATATGATACCAAATTCAAGTGAGCCCATAAGCTACTATCCGCTTTTGGAGGCTCAAAGGAATTCTGGACTGTATTTTCAGCAACAAGGATCTTGCCCTAGACTGCCATATAGTTACAAGCATGGTAATCTTGATTTTCTTGTGCCAAGAAATCAATCTTTGAGCATGAATGATGAGCTTTGGGGTACAAGTCTAAGCTTGCAAACTGGGCCTGCCAATATACAAGATAATGGAGGGAATAGGAAGGTTTCTGACGATGATGAAATCGATTTGGAGCTTAGACTTGGCCATGACCGCTAATGGGTCACACGGGTAAATCTATCTTTAAAGAATTAAGAAAATGTGTTGTACAAAGCTTATGTACTTATTTTCTGGTATTGTTTTATAGGGGGAAATTAATATGGATTTCATGAAGATGGCAATACACATATATTTGCATATTACTGTTCCATTGGCATAATATATAGACTATGCTAGAGATCGAACACGAATGACATTTGGTTCAGACTTGCACATCCTTGAAAGATGAACCAACGAATCAATTTCTCCTTGGGAGGTAAGTTCATTGTATTAATGGTTCGGTGTGGCTATTTTCAAATAAAATTAGAAGGCTTCGTGTTTCTATCTCTCGTTCAAACTCAAAAAATCGACGTTTGGTGATTATTGAGGATTGACCTATTTCATAGTGAAAATCTCTACTATTTCCTTCTAGTTTTTCAAGCCTAATTCACACTTCATCCTCAAAATATGCATGCTTTATTCAAGTTGTAATTAGGATAATCTCACACAGAGTATCTTATAAGGTGACCATTTATGAGAACATATTGATGCATTTTCTGTTTTTTTTTCAATTATTTTTCTAGCTTGATGACAAATTATTTCCATTGTGAACCACTAATGATTAATATACAATGGCTAGCCACTCACATTCTAAACTGAATATGTTTCTACTCATTTTCCATTTTCATGTAGATTCAAAGTTTGATTCTTCATTTTCTTATACAAAATTAATCAACATTTTATTTTTTACTGCATTTTCTTCTTCCTTATATTAAATGGACAAAAGGTAAGATGTCGATCTATCAAAAAGATAAGGGCAAAATCGTTTCATTGGATGAGGCATTCTTCAGAAAACCACATAAACCTATATATGTGTAGTAGTAGGGAAGTTGAAGTGAGTAAGGGAGTATATCTGATATGTCCAAATAAATGATTTTTCTTTCTAAAATTTACTTAACGATTTCATACTTAATCCAATACTACACTTAATCAAGTATTAATTATCTCATTCTGTGGCACCATTGCATGCATAATTTTTAATGAGAAAAGCTGTAGCATCTTAGGAAGCATTGATGAAACAAAATGCTATAACCTTTGTAAGTTTAGTCCCTTGGATTTCCCATTGATTATTAGCTTTTTTGCCAAAGGGATGCCATATTATTAACTTTTTATTACTTTATATCACATCATTTGATGTTAAACTTAATATGTCTAACAACAGAAGGCACTGCTGATGATTTTCCTATAGTGTTTCTTGTTAGACAGTGTTGTTGTTTTCTCGCGTAAGTGGTTATTCCTCTCTGGCGTTTTCTTTATCTAATATTTGGCTTATCGAAAAAAAAAAAATTGATGATTTTCTAAAAAATTTTTATTATAATTAAATGGGATATATTGCTTATCTCGAAAGCAAGTGTTTTTCCTTGGTCAGAAACCAATTTCTTGTATGCTTCCTCTCCCCGTCTATCACATGGTTATTTGCCATGATGATCCTTGATGATAACTTCGCAGAAATTGTCCTTGTAATTGTATTGTAGTGTATCATGCAATGAATAAATTCAAAATCTTTAGCTATTTTTGTTGTTTCGTGAAGGAAAAAATTACATGCATGTGAATCCTTGCCATTAATGACCATCAGGAAGCTAGCATTACTATTACTAAAAGAAAGGACAAAAGTTCTTACAACTTTATAGGTTTCATTTTAAGGAGTATGGTCACCTAGAAATGCAGAGAATATGATGTAACTTCTCAATGTTACAAAGTGCTCCCTAATTATGTAATAGGCTTATTTTTGAATTAATTATTTCACTTGCTTACTTCTAGTATATATTTGGTCAATTAATTATTATCTCGTATACCGTTTTATTTTTCCTAATTTCATCCAATTAATAACTTGTTTTAGATTTTTCTAATGTTAAACATAAAACACAATGTGTTCAAATTATTTACAATAAAGAATTCTTTTTTAATAGTGAAGATAAATAACTCGCACTACTTGTAATTTCAGATATTGTTCAATGCACAATATCTATTCTTTTCGAGAGCTGTACTGTTCTTTCACTTCAACTAAATATTATAATTAAGAAGTTTGCGCTCATCGTATGAATTTATAACGAATAGTAATCCTTTAAAATCACTTTTTTCGAAAAAGAAAAAAAAATCATCATTATATTTTGCTGCTCTCTTTTTCTTCAGTTTCCTGCACAATATGCTTTGTCTTGCTTTCTGTCCAAGTCGTTTGTTTTCTCCTCCTGGTGCCTTTTAATGAATAATTGGCGTACCCAATATATATATAAGAAAAAGACACCTCAAAAACCAGGATTACAATGCAATTGACAAATTTTATATGTAAACATGAATGAATGTACTTCTTTTTAGGATGCATGTACACCTTTATTTGGATGTGAAAGTGACAGCCAACCAATTAAGCGCATTACTCACCATTTGTAGGATGCCAAACCATGCAAGGAACTTTGTTTACAGAAGCGGAAGGATATTCTACCCCTGTTACTTCTCTTTTCCTGCAGCTTCCGATCTTACTATATAATTAAAAGCCTTTCCTTTTATAACTGAAGTCCCAAAAAGTTTAGATAAATCCATAGCTATTTGCATTTGTCGTGTACTCGTACTGATATCTTTTGAAAGAAAATCGAAATTCAAAACAAGCTGGGCGATACTGTAAAATTTCAGTAAGCCGCACTACTCTATTCTTAATATCCTGTTTTGGGCTAGATCCAGGTGCTTATGAAACTATCCGAACACACCGAGCCCGGAAGGAGAATATAGTTAAACCTAGCCCTAATTTAGGAAGAGAAAGTATCTTTTTTTCTTACAACCTTCTTCTTAAGCCTTTTTTGGGCACTGACCCTGGGCTGGATCCAAATGCTTATAAAATTTTCTTAACACACATGGGCCTAGGAGGAGAATAATATAAACATGGGCCACGTGGGACATTTAACTAAAATGATGCGAGGCCACGATTCTGGACGCTATTAATCCAGTGTACGAGGATTAGGGCAAACCAACATCAACTGTTTCTGTTTGTAGGACACATGGGCCACGGCGTGTGTCTAAACTCATCCTTTCCTTTTTCCTTTTTATCTCTGTCATGTGTTAACCATTTGTAAAGCACAGAATAGTCAGTTGAAGCAGACCCCCTCCAAAAGTATTACTGAAGATCAAAGTGTGAATTGTTTATACATACACAAACGACATGCAGGTAGAATGGTATTTGCTATTGTTTGGGGCTGCCATTGGGTCCAGTACGAGTGAGTTGTAGAAGCCCAATTCTAACAATACAGCAAATTTAAGAAAGAGTATGGGAGGGAGGACAGTCGAAATTGAATGATCGTCATAAAGTACTACGACAAGTTCGGCTTATCTACCACCAGACTACACCCCTCCTGGTGAGTGGCGATTGCCGATAGGGGAACACTTCCGTCGGCGCTGTTAGTATTTTGCCAACACCATCCATTTATGGTTAAATGATGTGGCCAATGTGGCTAATACCTCTATTATTTTAATTTTATCAATCCAGCCCCTTGCGTTTAATTTGTTAAACTGACCCTTGTAGTTCACAATTTTCTGTAATGTGGACCTCCCATCTACCTGTATCCAAGTCAAGCCGTTAAGTTTGATCGAAACTGCCCTTTGGTTGGGTATTGAGGCAACATTACCTATGAATATCTTTAGCTTTAGATCTTTTTTAAATTAATTCAATTTAAAAATAAAGTATGATGATGTGTGTATTCTAGAGAATAGTCGCCTCAAAATGAATTTTCCCTATATAACATTTATTCAATTGATTTTTTTTTAATCTATTTTACGAATATATAGATTGTGTTAAAAATTCACTAGATGTCATTATAATTGGGTCGGTCATTTGACTATTGAAAACTTAACAAAACCTGTTTTATTAAAATTGTGTTTAATTGATCATAAATAAAATTGATGAATTTTTTAATATAGTTTTTTCTTTCATTTTGAAACAATTGATCACCAATAAAGATTTGATGTGTTTTCTTGAAAATTAATTATTTTTTTAAGTGGTCGCCGGAATTTTTTTTTTTTTTTGGTTAATTTATTGCTTTAGCTTGACAAAATAATGACTTTACATTTATTAACAATAACTAATAGTATATTGAGGTTTTAAAACCATAAATGGGTTTGTTTGATTTCATAAAAAAGTGTAATCAGATGTGATACGATCAATTTTTAATTATTATAAAAAATAGTTTTAAAAGGTTTGAAATCTGAACATTGCTAGAATATTTGTATAGAAATAATTAAACTATATTTGACTTTAGCTATGGGGATTTGACACTATATTAAACGACATGTGGAATATTTTACTTAATGTTTGACTTGGATGAAATGTACACATTAATAGTAGTAAAAAATATGAAGAATAATGATTACATAAACAAATTAGATTACAAGGGGCTAGATTAGCAAGATACAAAATAATAGAGGAATCAATTAAAAGGATTAACTTGAGTGGAATGAATTTTAATTATTTAAACAAATAATTTTATATTTAAATATTTGTATATATAAAAAAAAATTTAAATAACTGTTTTTGTTTTATAGGTCTGATAAGATATCGAATAATGATTAGTTTAAGTTTTTAGGTTTGATATACTTTAAAACATCTAAAAAATAATAGAGGAATCAACAAATCCATACATGTTAGATTTTCCCTTGCCCCTTTACCTAGAAAAATGGAGCAGTTTACATTACGTACTCGTATTAATCACTCGATCACTTGAGTCCGTTAATGTTTGGAAAAACTAAATTTAGTCCCTCACCTAAGTACCTATTCTGAATTGTATACCAATCTGATCAATTAGGTACTAAATATTTCCCTCATTTCTCAATTTGGACCTTTATCAATTTTTGTTAATATTTTTCCTCAAATGTGTGTAATTTATGCGCGCGCACAAAAAAAACAAAAGCTTATTTTTTAAAGAAAATTTGACTAAAAAGTTAATGAAAATAAGCAGAGAGGGATCTGATTAAGAATG